GATACAGATCATGATGAACGTCTCAATTTTTTGGAAAAAGGTTTTGAAATCATTATTAAGGCCTCCACACTAGCCACGGATATGTTAACTCAAACATCCTACACGATAAACTCCTTTATGCAATCAACCGAACTCATACTTAACTCTAACACTCAAGCTATAGCTAGATTAGAAACCCACATTGATCAACTAGCTAGTGCCATAAGTGAAGAAGAGGAAGGAGAAATTTTGAGTCAACCCGTGATCAATCCTAAGGACACTCAAATGAATGCACTACAGTCAGGAAAACAGGTCAATAATTAGGAAAGAACACCTTTAAGCCAAATTCTTGTTCCAATTCATTCTTCCCCTGATAATTCAATTCAGGAAAGACCGAGGGAAGAAGAAGAAGAGTCAGATCTAAGTTTTGAGGAAATTTTCGGTGAGGAGCTAAAAATATTAGGAGAAGCAGATCGGGTCTGTCAAAATAAAGAAACTGTGTTGAACAATTGCTGTTTTGAACTGAATTTTGAAAAACTCTTTCTTGATGAACTAAGTTTTTTGGAAAATAAACAACAACCAAATTTTTACACATCAACCATGAATCTTGGGGTTGAGAAAATTGTTAAAGAAAAATTGGTTGTTAGAGAACAAACATTCACAAATCAAGAATCTAAGTCCAATATGCATGACACCAATAATACTTACCTTCCATTGCCACAAAAATCATTGAACACCCCGGAATGCTTAGAATTTCAGCACATTGTTGATTATATCATGTTGAATTTATTTAAAATCCGTGGGAGAATTTTCAGCAATAAGGTAGGATTCAATGTAGAACATGAACTCTTCATGTTGAATATTTTATTCTACATTGTTTATTTTGTTTATTTCAGAATAATAAAAATAATTTATTCTTCTCTCATGTGAGAGTTTCTTGTTTAGTTTTCAAAAAAAAAAAGAAAAAAGAGAAAAAAAAAGAGAAAAAAAGAGAGAAAAAAGAGAAAAAAGAGAAAAAAAGAGAAAAAAAAGAGAGAATAAATTTTTGATTTCATCATCCTCAGACCAAAGGTAATTGCAGATTTTTATCAACCGACCAAATATAAGTGCTTCACTTCTTATCTGCTTTACTTTATGCATCATAGAGTTTGCATTGAGGACAATGCAAAATTTAGGTGTGGGGGTGGGAATTAGTTATTTTTTCTCTTTATTTTACATTTTTAGTTACATTTTCCCCTTTTCCTTTAAAAAAAAATTTATAAAAATATCGTCACTTGCCAAATTGATGGAGTTATGTAATAATTGATTTATTTGATAAATTTGAAATTTTCTAATCCCTAGTTGGTTATTTACTTAAGATCACCTTTTATGATAACTCTAAATAAAATTCTTAAGAAATGATTTTCAAAGTAGTATACTTTATTTAAGCCTTAACTTGGACTTTTATTTAAAATAATGAAATTTTTGCATGCTTAACATAGAGTTGATAAGCCTTAACTTGGACTTTTATTTAAAATAATGAAATTTTTGCATGCTTAACATAGAGTTGAAAATAATTTTTTCAAAGTGTCTTGATTTACATATTTTCAAAATATATATACATATACAAAAAAAAAATTGCAAAAGAAGAGTGCGAAAAATGGGCACCAAAAAGAAAAAAAAACTCTTTAATTCAAGGTGATTCTATCTTATAAAGCCTAAGATGACCGAGTAATTAAGCCCAAGGAGTATTTCCATACTTAATGACCTAAGCCCATTTGGGTTGGGATCCATTGGCCCAAAACTCGTTAAATGGTCACTTAGAAAGCCCGTTAAAGTAGAAAAAAAAATCACCAAGAAAGAAAGAGTTAAAAAAAAACTAATAAATGTTTTATAGTTGTATATATGGTCTTGGAAAATATTTTAAATCAAGCAACTTGAAAATTATTTAAAACAAAGAGTTAGCATGTTCTTTTCAAAACTTTTAAATTAAATTTCTAAGTTTGGCTTGGTTTTGTATTGCTACAATGAGAAGATTTTCTTAAAAATATACCTTAGAGTTATATATAAAAATGTTTTCTTGAGTGATAACTGGCTCCAATTAGATTATCTAAAAGTTATCAAGTGAATTTAGTTATTTACTGACTTCTTTAATTTGGCAAGTTGACCGAATTTTGTGGGTATATTCACTGCAAACCCTCACGAGACTACAACTCGTCCACTAGGGTAACCTAGGGGTTTAAAGGCTTGTTGTATGCGCTAAATACAACCGCGATTCCTGCGAAAGTGAGTTAGGATTTTCTTTTTATTTTCTTTGCTAGAGGACTAGCAAAAGTTTAGGTGTGGGGGTATTTGATAATCACATTTTATTATAATTTTATACCCTCATTATCTATTTTATATGAATAAATATACCACTAATAATTATTTTTATCTTTTAATTGCAGGTTAATGAAGAATAAATCTCAAACTCTCATCTCTCAACAAAAACCCATTGATTAAATGAAGAAATGAAGCAAAGAAGCACATTGGAAAATCAATTTCCAAATTATCCAAAAGCCCAGAATGAAGTCGTGTAGCCTGTAGAAGCCGGAGAAAATCAAAAATCCAATATGAAAAGAAATCATATTCAAAATGGTTGGCCACAAAGAAACGACGATATCTCCTAATCCGGAAGGCGGAATTTAACATATAATATATGAAAATCGCCTATCTCGACGAGACGAAGCTATCCGTGAAATCAGAATTTGAAAATAGTGGGCATCGATGTCGGCATCGATGTGGGCATCGATGCTGGCATCGATACCTGCATCGATGCCTGCATCGATACCAGACTACTGTAGCGCGCGTCAATGGCTGATTTTGCTTGTCTTGGGGCTTAAGTTTGATCCAATGGCTCTCATTCACTGATGTTTACTATAAATAGGGGTAGAGAGTGAGGGGTTAGAGGTGTGAAAATTTTTGTAACTCCTTTTGGAGAGGAGGGCTACTCTTAATTGAGAAGGCCTTCCAAAAATTGTAACTTTAGTTGCAATTAATAATAATAATTTTTTCACCACTTTAAATATTTCTTCTCTTTGTTGTGTAACTTTAGTTACAATTAATAATAATAATAATTTTTTCATCACTTTAAATTTTTCTCTTCTTCTCTTTATTGGATGATGAAGATGAAGATGAAGATGGAGAATTATTTGAAGGTTTGCATTTCTTTCCTTTTTCTCTTTTATTTCCCTTTTATTGCTTATTAGTTAGATTTATTTTCATGCTTGTAATTAGATTTTATTTTCTTGTTAAATAGCCAAGAGGCTAGAACCCTCTTGCCTTAGATTTATTTCATGCTTATAGAGTAGATTTATTTTCTTGCATTTAATTCTTGCAATTTTATTTTATAGTTTAGATTTTGTAATTTATTTTGTAGTTAGATTTTAATTTCTTATACTATTCACCTTGAGGCTAGAACCCTCTTGGGTTTAGTTTTTCTTTTTGTTTATTTTTATTTGTTTGATTTGCCTTTAGGCTAGAACCCTCTAGGGAATCACCATTTTCTAAGAAGTTGGTTCAATTTTAGATTATCCATATCTATAATTAAATCCACCATCTTTAATTTCTTGTATTTTCTTTTATTTTAGAATTTTGTTCTTCATTCTTGATTTTTTTCTTGATTTTATTCATTTTTTCTTTCTCACCTTATTGATCATACTCATTCTTTTTCAAATCCACTCTCACTTACACTTGCATCTATTTACACACCATTTTCATTATCTCAATCTTTTCACAATCACATTCACTTATCACTCCTATTTGTCACGCACACGAAATAAGAACCAATTTTATATTTTCTATCACTCCTATTTGTCACGCACACGAAATAAGAACCAATTTTATATTTTCTCCTACAAAACACCTTCCTTGTGGGATCGATATCTTAAATACTATAACTTGACACGGTTGTGCACTTGCAACCTTTTTGGTACATGTTTATGCCGCATTAGTCATGGTAGAACATTGTGTTAAGAAGCAAAAGCCCCTTATAATTTAAGTTTGTAAGTAGTAATAAAAAAAATCAAGAAGGACGACTTAGTCATTTTAGGATATGGTCTCTGTTCCTTTGCAACCAAGTTGCATTCTTTGCGACAAGGAGACAATTTAAAACATTTTCCCATCATAAAAATTGAAAATATTTTCACAATTTTGAAAATATTTTCACATCATAAATTATAGAAGTAATCTATTCCTCTATAATAATGAGAGAATCCAAAATTCACTATTCATGTTATAATAATACTATAGTAAATTACTGTAGCATTGTTACTATAGCACAGACAGGAGGATCCAAGATTCAATATTCATGCTACAATAAACTACTGTAGAATTATTATTGTAGCACATGCATAAACCACACGCCTAAAACATCACTGTAGCATTATTCTCAGGGGACACAGTAGCATTTAAAATATTACTGTAGCACTTACCAAAACTATATTTAAATACAAAATTGTTGTAGCAGAAATAAAAAAATGATGGTCGTACTTTGCACGGTATGCACACTAGTGTCTATGTCTAACCAAGCACACTAGTATCTATATCTAACCAAGCACACTAGTATCTATGTCTAACCAAACCCTAGACGTACGTACCGGAAAGGCATTAACGCGTCATGTAACATTTTGGTAACTTTCTAATGTCCAAAACACTTCCAATAGTCAATGATGGATCTCACTGACTAGCAGGCCCCACTTTCCGCATCATCAGTCGGCCCCATACGTCAGTGACTACTCCTCTTTTAATCGATCTGCAGTCTGTACTGGAAAAATTCCAAAAGCGGGAAAAGGAAAAATTCAGAAAACCCACAGGAAACCTGTGAGCCTGTAAAAAGACGAAATTACCCCCGTTCCTTTAAATACCTTCCCAGTCCCTCGTTCGAACCAAAAAGAGCAGCGAGAGAGAAAAAAAAAAAAAGAAAATCCCCCATAAATTAAGTCCCTCTCTTTCCTTTTCCCCCAAAAAGCTAGGGCTCGAGCCAAAACCCTAGCCTCCAAAAGTCACCCGCAGCAAGGGCGTGAACCTCGCCGGAAACCTCATGGCTCCGACGAGGCTGAGGCCTCTCGTCGGCGTCGACATTCGGTTCGTCGCCTCGGGATGCAGTAAGGATCATTTCCTTTCTCTGATTTCGCATTTGTTTTTTTGGGTCCCAGTTGATTGTGACTTGTAGGTGTAGCTTTTTCTTCAGCTAGTTCTTAAGAGAAGTATGCATATGTATTGATGGAGAGTAAGAAAGTTTTGATCTTTGTGAGAATTGCATATGTAATGTCGTGTATTTTGATAGATCATTTAAAGGGTACGTGATTTTCACAAAACCCACCTACAATTTGAAAATTATAGAAAGCCCTAAATTAGAAATTACATACACACACACACTCACTCACTCACTCACACACACACACACACACACACACACTCACTCACTCACACACCCACCCACCCAAAAAAAAAAACAAACTTTGGAGGGTTTCAAACCCCCTGAACTTTCCAAGAGTTTCAATCGCGCTTTATGGTAAGTTCCGTTCCGTTATGGGGTTTATCAGGGAAGAAACGACAGATGGGAACGAGAAAAAGATTGAGGAGAAGCTTTTATGGGTTTATTGAGATAGGGAGGTTGTTTTTCAAAAACTGCATCTTCAGTAGGTTGATCTTTTTTTGTAAGTTCAAAGAGTTTTGGGGTACTCCCCAAAATTTAAGGGTGTTTTCTCAATTTTGTAAACTTAGTGGACATTTTTTAAAAATCACCCAAAAGTTTGGGTTTTTTTTTGGGGTGGGGAGGGGGGTGTGGTGGGGGGATGGTGGTTCTGAAATCTACCCTGTTTTTTTAACCTCATTTGGTTGAGGCTTGTAGGTGTTATCTTTCCTTCATTTTGTTCTTCATGAACGAGTGAATGCAATGGTAGGGAGTAGGAAGGCTTGATTTTTGTGAGAAAATACAGATATAATGCCTTGTAGTTTGATAGGTTATTGAAACTAAGGAGGATGAAAAGGCAGTTCTAGCATTCTTATATGCCGGTGTAGCTAAAATATGACACGTTCAGTCAGTTTGTTCAAGTGCGGTGTTAAGAATGAGAGGAGTGTTTTTTGTTTGATTCTCTGGAAGCTCTGATTATTTTGGAAGTAAAGACTCTATTGGGCATAGTTCTTTGAGTGTGGCTAAAATATTCCACATTCAGTCAGTTTGCTAAAGTGAGATAATTGTTAGGAATGAAAGGAGCACTTTTTGTTTTATTCATTGAAAGTTCTGATGATTCGGAAGTAAAGACTACTGGGCATAATTCTTTGAGTTCTCATACTTCCATTTGTAACATGGGAAATTATTGGAGGAAGGGTGGAACTTTGATGCTCTGTTCGCAAATCAGTCTAGTCTTTGTTTACCTTTACACTAGGAAGCTACACAATCTTAAAGGTTATATATGAGGATTGGTGGCCATGATTTAGTTCCTGTTTTTTTTATGTATTAGCAATATGGGTCCATAAGTTTATAGGTTAAATTCTGACAAATGAGTAAGTTTCTATGATTTGTTCTGTTTGTCCATACATATTCAGGTTGGAGTAAAGCTTTACTAGCTAGTAGCTAATGTATTAGAGAAGAATTAACTTGAAGTCAATCAAGAGAAAATAATGCGGGAGTTGTGCTTGACTGATGATTGGCTTGCTTATTAAAGTTTGGCTATAGTAGTAAGTACATTATGTATATATTACCATAAGGAATCAATCATTTTGAGGATCAGGACATACAAATTATGTTTTACTAGGTTCAAAATTTGGTTTTATTATTTTATGTTAATTAGATCATTCACCATTGTTCTTATGTATGGATGTAACATTATAAATTCATAAGTTGCCACTCACATTTATCTATTGCACGAATTTGTAATCATGGTTTTGCAGCATCTTGCCATTGTGTGGCATTGGACGTCAAAGGCCGTTGCTACACATGGGGGCGAAATGAGGTAGGATCAGAACTTGACTAATTTTATTCAAATTGTCATGTGCTAAGTTCTCATGCACGAGAATGATGGCAGAAGGGGCAGTTGGGACATGGAGATACAAGAAATCGTGCTATGCCAACAATTGTATCTGAATTATCAAAGTATGTCTCGCAAACCACACAGTGTAGTTTTTTGTTTCATTCTTAGGCCTATTCAAGTATTTCAATTACGCCTAATCTGCCTCATTTTTGTTAGTGCACTGGCACTTTTTTGTCTTTTATTTTCTCTAGCCCTCTAACCTACCCATTCAACTAAAATAGCTTGTTTTTGTATCTAGCTTGATACTTACAATTCCTACTGAGTGGCTTTCTAAATATTTTAAGAATTCTATTTTCATGTTATGGCGATTTTCACAACGTATGTATCAAACTTATTGCACAATATTCATATGTCATTGTTTGGGAACTTATTGCAAGATATTCATATGTCATTGTTGGGTAATTGGAGCATCTTAAGTAAATTAGATTATAATTATACTTGCTTGTGTATATTTTATCATGGTAGAGAGGGTGTTTTGATGAGTTTTTCAATTGTTTTTTGCCAACTTATTTGGAAAGAACATGCCTGCACATTCTCTTCCAGAATTAGATTGGTACAATTTATGCTTACAGATACTCTTTATTTCATGCTATAATCTCTTTTTGACGGAACTAAAAATTGTCTGTTTTTATTGAATACTGTGGGGAAATATTTCAGCTACGATTAAACATTCCATAGATGTTAATATGTTATCAATGCCTTCCCTTGTTAATTTTTATTGTATTGGTTGTGTCATTAGTGGTATGAAGTATTAAACATATCTGAGTCATAACTTAGGAAAAACTGACTGCTGGCATAGTATTGTGTCAATAGGCCCTCTCGTAAGAATTATCCATGCTTTAACAAGATGCTTTTTACAATAACAGATACAAAGTTGTCAGAGCAGGTGCTGGGAGGAACCATACCGTAATTGTAACTGAAGATGGGGATTCCTTCTCTTTCGGTATGAATAAGCATGGGCAGTTGGGAACAGGTTCTATAAAGAATGGTATGTTTAATGTATTCATCAGAGGTACATGTTTTTTTTAAAATTATTTGAGCCAAATATCATTGTGCATTACATTCATGCTTCAACATGCATGTTGATGCTGCCGGTTGTTGTTGCTGTTGAGTTAAAATGCTAATTGAAGCTAATTTTTTGGATTAATTTTAGAAAACCCCCTCAACTATTTTTATTTGAGTAAACCCCTCTCAAGTTTGGGGGTGGTGTAGATAACACCCTCAACTTCAAAATTTTGAGAAACCCATTCAAATATGGGCTGTCTCACAAATCTCCTCATCTTTACACAGTTACTTAGGAAAACCCCCTAACGTAGTTAGTTCAAAATGGCCTCAATATACTTTTGAGAATAAAAACTCATTGCAGTTAAGATTAACCTTCCATCTAGTAAAAAATGGCGCTGATTCATTTGCGGTGTTTTCCCTGCTCTTTCTCTCATCCTTCAGAAATATAGGCTAATTTTTTTTATATCTGATGGGTATCTTAGTCATTTTAATCATGCGCTTATAACAGTGTTAGTTAGGAGAATTAAGTGAGAAATATTCAGGGGTTTCTCAAATTTTCAAAGTTGAGAGGGGTTCTCTGAGATAACACCCTAGTTTTTTATTTGATGCGATCTTCAATGTCAATACCGATGCTTTGAGTGAACTAAAATACAACTTAAGATGCAGGGATACAAATACAAGCAATTGGCTTGTAGAATTTTGGAGGAACTAATGTTATATAGTTAGTATGTTACTGAGTTCAAATTGCACCAATTACCTTTTGGACATCATCAAGATCAATCGTTTAACACTTTTGGGCATGGTAAAGTGTGTAAATCAGAGAAAATCCCTCTAAGGTTAGTAGGAAAAACAGAAGATCCCTCTGAATTTTAAATTAACACCGAGTATTATTTATTGGCAAAAGTACTCATCCATTTTTTAGTTTGGATGCTTTATCCTTCCAAATATCTCAACCTCTCTTTAGACTTTCTTTTAAAAAAATCAAACTTATCTTAGAGGTTGAGACCAATAACTGATAAACTCATGATAAATTAGATACCTAACCTTACAAATCCATGTTTATCGAGAATTAAGCTACTGAAGTTCCTGAAAATATTTTTGAAACCGTCAGTAGTAGTCCCATAAAGCTTAACTATTTATGAATCTACTGACCTCAAGGTGTTAGCGTTTAGGCAAAAGTACGAAACCGAGATCAATCAATAACACAGAAAAGAAATCAAGTCTCAAAGACACAAATTTAATGCGGTTCGGAGCAAGTCTTATGTACATGGGCAGCAACAAATAACTGTTTCACTAATCAAAAGAGAGATCACACAAAATATCCTTATATCCCAAAACCCTCTCATAGATGATAGAACAGTCTCCAAGATCTCGTAGACGATAGAAGACTCTTTCTTCTTCAATTTTCTATTCCCTAGACAAATCGAAAGACATAATGTATTGGATTATTTCCGTATACAAATATCCCCCAAAATACATGCAAGTTCTAGTATGAGCAAGAAACAAAACTGGAAGGAAAACCCGATGGCAGTCATTGACTGCTGGAAGTCAACATGCGTCAATTGCTGGTGCTAGTAGCTGTGTCACTTGTTTGGAAAAGTCATAAGCTTGTTTTCAGGTCTTCCACAAAACTCTGGGGACTTCTGGACTGTGATAGTTGTTGCTCGCTGACAGTCCATGACTTTCGGACGCATCCTTCTTTAATTGGGGAACTTGACAGCCCTTAAACTTCAATGGTAGACTGCTGGATTGACTGACGTGGATGCAAGACATTCTAACACAAGAACTTGCCATTAATTCCTACTGGGATTTCCCTCTCAAAGCCATTGTCATTAAAAGTTTCAAGCTCGATGATTAGTGAATTAAGGTAGGTGCTTTCCTGGAGACTAAATTTATGCAAAAAATCAATAGCTTCCCGCTCTGCGAAGTTGCCGACATTATTATAGACTGACCCAAGAATCTCACTTATTGAATGGTTGAGTCTAATCACAGTCTACCTAACCCCAAAAATAGAAGAGAGTGTGGGGTGCCACTGTAGCTCAGATCCAAAACTCGAAGCTTTGTGAACCTGCTAATGTTGTTGTCAGGAATTGTAACTGAGGCTGAGACTAGACTCGATTGAGCTTATGACACTGTTTATTTCAGCATCACAGACCTCCGGCCATGAACAAAAGGGGGAGGAGAAGCCACTAGTGAAGCTAATGGTTCTCCTTTCCGGTTTTCTGAGAGAAATCAGAGGAATAAAATCCAACTGCGCTTGATTCTTCAGATAGATAACTTGCAAGCAGATGTGATGTAGTAGGAAAGGAAGCAAAAAAGTCAAGAGACTCAAGAGCCACTGAGAGAAGGCTAAAATTTTCAACTTAAGGTAGTAGAAGACTTCATCTTTGTGCACATTAAATATTGGGTTTTTGATCGAGCTTAGGTCTGTGTATTGGATTTGAGGCTCACAGGAACAATAACAACAACATGCTGTTTCTTCCCTTCAATGAGGAAATCTTCATCGTCTTCCCTACAAAGTATACATGTATTTTCATTATTAAAGAAGTATTCAAATGTATTTCTTTTAAAAACTTAGGGTGATTTTTTGTTACTCCTACGAACCTTAGGACGATCATTTGTAATTTATATCCTTTGTAAATAAAAATAAGAAAAGGGCAACATATGGAGAGTAGAACATCACAATTACAGAGCAATCTCTGAGCATTACTTCCTTCAACAAGTTCATTGTTCCAAAGGTCTATGATGTTAGTAGTTCCTATATTCTGGCATGAGTTTCACTAATGCAATTTTGACATTTGGATTTTGGTAGTTACGCTTTCAAACATATGTCACGTAAAAAGTGACAGGTAGTGTAGGTGATCCCATGAATGGGGCTGAATCATATCCTACTAGCACAGTGCATGTTTTAGTCTTTTTAAGTTTTCATGTCCCTATATTCTTTTGATCATTGTCTAGTGTATGCCCAAAAACTATTGTAAAAATTTATAGTTTTGGATCCCTTTTTTCTGTCTTTTATTTATTTAATCATGGCATGTTCCATGTTATATAACAGTCAATATCTGATACTTGTGTTCAGCCAAAATGCAATGTTCAGCTAATTGGAGTCTTATCCAGAGTGTTTTAGCAGCTATATCCTGTCAATATATGTCATGTTTCCATCCATGTATATTTCTTCTAATGTTGGTCCAGTTATCCATTTTTTCTTTAATCCAATTATTACTTAGGTCTCTACCACTCGATTCTTTTTTATTGATGCACGAAAGAGAGTATTGGAAAATTTTAGGCGAACATTGTGCCTCATATTGTAACATAATAGGGGAAGAAGACTGTGATACATCAATACATTGCAAAACATTAGTAAGTTCAAAGATTTCTTTCCTTAAAAATGTTTTAGCCTTATACAAGGAGATTTAGAGTTGTTCTTGTAAAGATGTTTTTTATTATTCAGGACCACTAAAATGATTATTCTATTGTCCATTATGACAAACATACACAATTTCTTTTAGCTTCTTTAATGTTAATGATTGAGCATTGAAGACATGGCCACAGAACCATGTTTTTTTGCCCATTAACACAGACAAATCTTGTATTATAATAACCAACATTCATCCTTTTCCCATCAGACTGGACCTAGCTGTGGACGCATAACGCCAAAATGAGAAGTCTCTAGAAATAGTAACAAGTCTTCAACCATGCCATATAGTATTTGTCGACTGCTGACAATATGATTGACGATGAACTTCATAACTCTTACTAGATTTAAAGCCATTCAAGATGTTATAAAACTTAACCACCATTTGAGGTAAAAATAATTTAGCATTTTCTTTAGCATGATACATATCTTTGCACATACTTCACCAGAATCATCTGCATGCTAACCTTTTTTTACCTCCAATTCATTACCTATTTATTATATAGTGATTGTAAACATGTGACGTGCAGTTTTTTTTTACGGCATGCTAGGCAGGTTGGGCGCCCAGGGGCCAGGGTGGTGCCTACGCTTGCATCACATTTGGTTACCACCTATATCTAAGTGTCTGCCTAATCATAGTGGCCTATGGCCTTACTGCATTTTGCATGTGAAACTATTGTGTCTTGCATTCTCCTGGTGATACACTCTTGCTGCATGCCAGAACTTTTAGATATGGTACTGCTGCTTATTTCTTATAACATCCTGTTGGAGCTTCTGCAGAAGTTGAACCATCTCCAGTTCCCTGTTTGGTATCGCAAGCAACAATTGCTGTTTGTGGGGCTGAGTTTACCGTATGGTTGTCGTCAGTTGAAGGCTCTTCTATACTGTATGTCCTGTTGGATTATCTATTATTGAACTGCAATTTCTCTTCGTCTTCAGCAGCTACTTTTTCTGTTTGGTTACAAGCCATGGGAAGTACGGTACAATTTTGTGTTACTTACGTAGTATAATTGTCGGCAGATCTGCAGGTCTTCCACAGTATGGGCAACTTGGACATGGAACAGACAACGAGGTTAAACAGAAACCCCTTCATCTAAATTTTTATTGTCTTATTTTCTTCATTGACACAATTAAGCACCTTTCAGTACAACTCTAAAGAAAGCTCAGTAAAGCTAGTTTATGAGCCTCAGCCTCGCCCACGAGCAATATCTGCATTTTCAGAGAAAACTGTTGTCAAAGTTGCTTGTGGCACAAACCATACAGGTTTGTCTCTGTTTCCTTCACAATACTCCATACCGTTATGCATAAATGTATAGGAAATGATATAAATCCAGTGCCCTAACGGTTAAATTTTGTACATGGAAATCCAGTTGCCGTTGATTCCGATGGCTTTCTCTACACGTATGTACTATAACCTCCAAACTTATGCTTTTACAGCTCATTTTTGTCTGTTTTCAAGTTTCCTTCTCTTTATGTTTGTTTTTCTTCTCAAGCTTAAATTTGTTTGGAATGCTTTTTTTATTAAGTATATTCTGTTGCCAGATCATCTGGTGTATATGCATCTGACGTACACGACCTATTAATTTGTTTTTTTCCGTTATACTTCCAGGTGGGGAAATGGTGGATATGGAAGGTACATATGAGCACCAAACTTTTGGATTGTATATAATTCATGTACATAGATCCGTAACTTCGGAGCTATGGCTGGTAATGAGTGAAGATTTGAGCACACACTCTTGCAGTGTATGTATATGTTTCTTATTATGATTTATGTATGACATAATCTTTGTCACCTCTTGTTCTATTTAGGCTGGGTCATAGAGAACAAAAGGATGAATGGACTCCTCGTCTTGTTGAAGTATTCCAAAGGCAAAATGTTCTGCCACCTAATGCTGTAGTCTCAGCTGGTGGCATGAATTCTGCCTGTACTGCTGGTATGCTATTGTTTTACCAAGTAAATATCATTTGGCTGTTATTAGTTGACATCTTAAAAACAATTTTGGGTCTATTTCCTAAATCACATGTTTTGCATCTTATTTACTACAAACTTATAATGCTGTGATCCATCTGTTCCTGAATGTTCTTTCTGATCTTTGTTTTTTAGCCTTTCCTCTTTCATTGGTATTTTTCCTAATGTATTGTGCATTGCATCTTTGCATGCTTATTTCCTTAATTAATTGGTTTACCAACTAATTGATTTTTCATGGTTGGCTCCGGTCCAGCAAAAAGGTCATGCACTTGGTCAATAGGAGGTAATATGTTAAACTACAAATAATATGAAAAATCAGGAATTAGCAAACAAGAACAATAGTCAAATCTGTTGATTGTTTATTGGAGGCGACTTAAATAGATAATCATGTCTTCTAAATAAGGGCTGCTTAGTGCATAAGCTTCCCACTATTGTTTTTGTTTGTTTGTTTGTGTGTGTGTTCTTTATTTTTATTATTATTATTTGCCGCGAGGGGCGGGGCGCGTGCGGGCGGGAGGGTATAAGTTTAGATGTATTAAGGCATAAGGATCGGATATAGACTGCCTTAACCCTGCTTGTGGAGGGACTTCTGCAATTTGATTGATAATGGAACTTCCGGGTCAACAGGAAACTGTTTTATTCCTTCTAATAAATAAGTTGCAATGCAACATAAAAGCTACTCAGCATAGAGTTGGTGATTGAGGTCATTACTAATTGTGAGATCAATGAGGTAGTTTCATCTGTGGTTGCCTGGTTGGAGTTGAACATAATTTGCTAATCGGCTATCAACTTTCTGAAACTTTTCTCTTTGATTTATCGCTTATTAACAATCTCTTGCATTTGGGTGGACAAGCATACCTTCCTCATTTTTGTGGGGTATGTATAATACATGCTTCTTTCTTCTCTTTCTCGTTTACACTATTATAGCATGATGTTCATGTTGTTGTTCTTAAAGCTTCTTATGGTTTTCCCCCTGTATTTATCTTTTACTATACTGTGTTCTTTTTGAGTGTTATGTCCATTAATAGTCTTGACAGGGATAAGAGTTTTCTGTTGTATCAAAGAAAATGTTACCAGTCCTTGCTTTCCTTGTGAATGTCTTCTATAGGAGGTGGTCAGTTATATATGTGGGGAAAGATGAAGACTAGTGGCGATGACTGGATGTACCCAAAGCCAGTTATGGATCTAAGGTTTATTTCTCCTGCGTTATATGTTAGTTTTGTTTCCTAATTAAAGTAGCTATTTTATGCAATGTATTACGAATAAAATTAGATGGAATGATTTCCTATTTGTATTATCATTTTCATTCTATAGAGAAATAAAAACCAAGATAATTTTATTATAGATGCCTTGTTTCTTTAAATAGACGAAAGGAAACTTGAGCTACAAGAAAACTTGGGGTACAAGTAAAGAAGATTGATAAACAAGAAATATCGTCGCTAACTAACTAGCTAATGTAACACTCGTCTTCAAGCTGGAGTATAGATGTCAATCATGCCAAGTTTGTTACAAATGGGAACGAAACTAGTAGAAACATTAGGTAGGTTAGCCAGTAGAAACTCTAAGCAGGTAAGCCAGTAGAAACATTGTCAGAATCAATTAAAAAATCAATTAAAAGATGATAAAAGAGGCACTATTACGATGAACATGTCCACGTGGTTGTTGAACAGTAACATAATGAAAAAATATTATTTTAAAGTCAAGGATTTTTCAAGGGGACGGTTGTTGAGGTCGAAGTGAAAGATGTTGAAGCTGATATTGTCAAAGCCGCCTAGAGGAAGCATGAAGGCCATGGAAAACTCTCGATGGCCTCAAGATTTAGAAAGATGAGAGAAGTTCTCTAGGATCAATTAAGCTCTGATACCATGTAGAGAATATAGAAACCAAGATAATTTTATAGTAGATGTCTTGCCTCTTTAAATAGTGGAAAGGGAACTTGGGCTATAAGAAAACTTGGGGTATAACTAAAGAAGATTGGTAAACAAGAAATTTCATCACTAACTAACTGGCTAATCTAACACATTCAATGTTTATACTTCAAATAATTATTTGATATATTTGTGAGAGATGTACAAATGTGTTGGATCAACATTTTTGAGTTGCGAGATAATCCTTGTTAGAGAATAAGAGAATATTTGAAGCAATAAATTTGATTGATTACTTAATTCAGCTGGTGCCTTATACCCTTCCCTTGAGACATGTTCCAGGCAGCCTTGATGGCTCTAAGCTATTTCTTTAGTTTCCAGTAGCGTGAACAAAGTTTTAAATTTCAGATATCAGGGAAATATGGGATGGTCAAAATTCATATTGGATCATGGATATTGGGGATATGTGGTAAATACCAAAATGCCATAACGGATTTTCGCATATGTGGTATAGTGAAGTAAAATGTAATCTCCACATACTTAATGAAATCTAAGCATACAAAGTGTAAATAATATATGTTTAGGATCACTAATCAACCTTGTAAAATAAACAAAAGTACAAATCAACATTGCAACATTTCTTCTAATTTTTTAAGGCCAAAATGTCATTTGATATAATGGGAAAATCATGATATATTGCCCAAAAATTGCCAAACGTGGTATATTGTTTTGCGATAGGCCATATAAAAGGATATATTGGTCAAAAATTATCGTCTGATATATCGGCTATATTAAAGGATATATTGCCCAAAATAACCAAAAGCGGGTAAAGGATACTTAGAGACCATATCGGTCACGGCAAGCCTTGTAGAAGGATATATTGGGCCATGTCGGAGATATTTAAAACAATGAGCGTGAAGACTAAAAAAGCTTATCTGTTTGTTAATTAATCTAGACTGAACAAAAGCCTATTTTCTTTTAAATTTGTCGCACATGATTCTACATTGTAGTTTTAATAGAAAATTCTAGCTCAACTATAAGATATATAACGTTAACCATGTGGCTTTGGTTTATGATATTTTACTTGAGCCACTCAGCCACAGGTATTACCTATACAAAGTTGTGGCGAACAGGGCTCAAGTTCTGTCAGCTTGGGCTAATTGAATATTGACCCCCTATGCTCCTGTTGCTCCCTGTCTCCAGCCATTTTATCATATTTTCAGTCCAATTGTTGTATTTCTGCTTCGCTGGTTCCATATAGATGCACTATATCTTGTAACCTAATCCTCTCAATGGTTAAGAGGTCCTGCTTTTTATTTTCCTCATGCCTGCATAAGTGTTGGAGTTGTGGCACTTGTTAGACCCCACCTCTCATTTTGGGTTTAATTGTACTAATAAATTTCCTTTAAACTTCCAATATTTGATTGACAACATCCTTGAGAAGTGCAAGAAACTCTCTCTTCTTACTCTTTCTTGTTACATATTGTGGTAGCTTAGCAACGTTGTTTTTCATTTACTTGGAAAGCAGAAGAGTATATGCAAGTTTCCTTTTGCAGTATAACATAGCAAAAGGTTAAGAATACCATAATCATTTTGGAAATTTACAGACAATCAGCAGCAATTTCTAAAAACAGTTTACAAATGATAGAAATGAGGCTCAAGAATTTAGGAAAGATTACCGTAAAAATCATTTGGAGTTATACTTGAGCTAGTAGGAAATAGTTTAATGTGGGTCAGGATCGAGTATCCTATAGATATTTTTGGTTGAACATATGTCCTAGAAGGATATGTGACTACAAATAAATTGCTTAAACTTTTCCAGGTTATCGATTTTGCCTTCTTTCAGTCTTAATTTTTCCTTCGATTAGATTTGTATTTTTGTAGGGATAACTCGTTCTATAATTACATCTTTGTAGTGGTTGGAATATCCGCTGCATGGATTCAGGTAATATGCATCATGTTGTTGGTGCTGACGATTCATGCATAAGTTGGGGTAATGCACAGTATGGGGAACTTGGTTATGGATCCCTGGGGCAAAAGTATGTTTTTGAGACATCTTTTTAAACCAACAATAGTAGTTCAATATATTTGAATTTTAATTGGAAATATGTTTATCTATTTGGCATAGATCATCAGCAAATCCCAAAAAGGTTGAGCTTCTTGATGGAATGCATGTCACGAGGTAAGTAATGGATTACCTACTTTCATATTTAGCCTTTTCATTCTTCTTTTTCTTCTCATGGTTTTACTTTGTGCTCTTTTTCTAGCGTGGCTTGTGGACTTGGTCTTTCTCTAATTGTTGTAGATGGAACAAATGCTGCTGATCGCCTGGAACAGGTATGATGGAATAACTCAAAAGGAAAATTTTCCTTCTCATCTGCTTTTTTACAGCATCCTTTTTTTGGTTATTGTTCCAGTTCATTAAAGTTCTTGTGATGCAATCTAGAAAAATAGCAAGTTTCATAGAAAACTCTAGATATACTGGCCTTTTTTGCTGCCCTGGTAATTTTACTTTGCATTTGTTTATATATGAAACCCCTTCAGTATATTTTACTTTGGGTTTGATTATATATGACCATTTTCCAGTATTAGTGTTGGATCTCCTTGTCATTGCTTGTGGAATACCGTACAATTTCTAAAGCAACAGTCCACATAGAATTGCATTTTGAACTTAATGGTTATCAAAATTGTTTAATCTTACCTGGAATGTTGCAACTTGTGGATCATCATGTACGATTAGTGGTGAAGTTGGAAAAGTCAAATGTAAGTGGCTGAAACTGGTTCCTAGCTTTGAACTGGTCTATCTTCCAGATGATATCGACTGTCATATGTAATAAATTCTGATAGCGACTTGTGTGAAAAAAGTCCCGTAATTTCTTTTTTGTCTGATTCATAATTACGAGTTATTGACCATGTTAGATTGGACGTGAATCATTGACATACAATAACTCAGTTACTTCGTAAATCTCATCTTATTCAGATTACGACCTGGCAACCTGCTAGTTTAGTAACATAATCATGCTGTTTTAATTTGAAACCAAGGCAGATCGGACTAGAGCAAGATCCTTACAGGTTATCCTGTAATTCAAATTCAAAAAGAAAAAGACCTCTGAATCTTGCTCAAGGGAAACCCTACTATGTCGACTTAAAGAGTGTCAATGCACTCTCCTTATCTCTCTGCAACAAGGTCATAGCATCTTACAATCTGTAGCTATATCTTTTCCTTTTATGCTGAAAAACAAAATACATCTCAGTATAGAAGGCATTCTTGGTGGAATATAAGCTAGGCTTAGGTGGATACCAATATCTCGACTCTAGAGTGCATCACAAAGTTTTTTGAGCAAGTTTATTCAGTGATGTCACCCAAACTCATACCGATCAGTTGTTTTTATATTTACTCTTAAATAATATTTTATATCTCTTGAATTTTCTTTGACTGTATGTAGTTTTATTTTATTTAAATTCTTTCAACTTTGTTTCTTGTCTTAAAGAAGCATATAATAAACATATTTCTGAATTTTGATTCAGTATTTTATTAGATGATTGCTGATCATATTATGGGTTTATGTAACCAAGATCTAACATTCTTCTCCTTCAACAGCTTGAAGTATACGAAGAAGAAAATGTTGTTGAAGGTATGCACATATCGAAACTTTTGTTTGTCTGTTTTTTTTTCCTTTGATTTGTTTTGTTATAATCTACGCTGTTCTGTGACTAATTTTTTAGTTAGTGGAAAGAAAGTTTGAGTCTCAAGGTTGGAGATGAGATATACTAGTGACTGGGCCTTCAATCTATTTGCATCAAAATATTTGTTTGATTTTTGTTGTTGTTATTGTGATCTTGGTTTGTTTTGTTATAACATTCTAAGCTATTGTTGTGGCTCACTTTTTCATTTAGTAAAACGAAAAACAAGTCTGGGTTTCAAAGTAGGGAGATGAGAAATAACAAGGTAACTTGACCTTCAACTTATGCAAAATGATATATTTAATTTCTTTTTCTGAAGAGAAGAAGTTTTAGTTTCAAGAGTTGAGAGCGATGCAACAGCATATGGGTATGATATGTCCATATCCGTAAGATATGAATATGGATATCAAATATCGATATCCACATGGATACAAATATTGTTTTAAATTTTAATAGGTTAAGGATACAATGATCCATACACGAGTATAAGAAAAACATCTGTATTTGGATCATGATATTTATGTTGAATGTACAAGCTTTTGGGCTTAATTTAGTGAATCTGAAATCAATTTTCATGATCCAGAGATCTAATTTTAAGTTTGTAGACATGTTCAATGAATTGATGATATATGATTTGAGAAATTTTATTTTGTTTAGACAACTCTTGTGCTACATCATATCACATCATTCTCCCTTTAAACGTGTGAGTTTGGCTAAATCTTTCGACGGTCATTATCACATCATAGTCCCTTTAAACGCTTGAGATTGAGTAAATCTTACGATGGTCAATATTACCCTTGATCCTTTTAGATATTACATTGTAATCCTATTCCAATTAATAAATAACTAATTAAATGAGAACTTTAGATAGTATAATAAAATATTTATATAAATAACCAATTAAATGAGAACTTAGATAAAACTATAATATTTAAATATATATCATATGTATGTGTTTCATTGCACGTGAAAATATTGAATTGATAAAATATAAAAAAATGATAATTAGGAGTTATTTTTTTGGGTATTACATTATTATCCAATCTTAATTAATAAATAACTAATTAAAAAAGAAGTCAGGATAAAAATATTTAAATATATAAACTGTACACGTGTTTCATTGCACGTGCATTGCAAAACTTCTCAAATTTTAAATATTTAAATTACTGTGAAGTTAGAATAAAAATATTTAAATATATATTATACCTATTTTGTGAAGTTTTTCTAATTAGGAATTGATAGTTAGGAATTGGTTTTATCTTTAAATTTAATTATCTATAGTAATTAATAAAGAAGAAAAGTTATTATTCTATCCTAATATCTTTAAATTAGGAGATAAGAAATTGATAATTATGATTTGGTTTTTATCTTTAAGTTTAATCATCTATAGGAATTAGTAAAGAGATGGAAAATTGTTATACTCTCCTAATATCTTCTAATTACAACATTATGAACGGATACATATGTATTTCATTGCACGTGAAAATATTGAATTGATGAAAGTTAAGGAATACATTTGCATAGTATAGTGAAGTGAATTGCTATGGCCCTAATATATAAATAGACAATTTTAATTTAAATATTTTATTCTCATATAAATTATAGATAAATCATAAATAATATATATCATATGGAACTTAAGGATAAACTATAACAACTATGACAAGATTTTGACAGAATTCGGCAGAATTTGGCATAGCAGTCCGTAGAGGTAAAGGAGCTTAATAGGTTCATATTTAATCATCGTTAGAGTGAAAATAAATTAGAGTTTTGCTAAAAGTTGTTTCTTATTTCTTTCTTTCTTCCAAATAGTTTATGAAAATAATTAAAAATGCTATCGAGTCCCATAGTATTTAAAGTTTATTTTTTTGGAATGAAGTATGTGTGATATTTATATATTAGTCCCTCAAATCTTCAATAATTCCGCATTAGTCCCTCAAATCTTTGAAATTGGTCATTAGTTCCTTAAATCCTAAGGGGCCTTGCAATTTGGTCCCTCAATGACTAAAATACCTCTCATATTATACACCTCTTTAACATTAATATCTGAAAGTTTTTTTTGACAATTTGATATCCTAAAGTTTTGTTTTTGACACCTTAATACCCCAAAGTTTGGACAACAAAGTCAAAAAATGTGTAAACTGTGTGAGGTAACAAATTCAAAAGAACTGAGACTTTGGTATATGAAAGTTAAAAAATGTGTTAACGTGGGATATCAAAGTGTTAGAGAAAAAACTTTGGGATAAAATTGAAACAGGTGTAAATTATGTTGTATAGTTCCACAAAAAAGAGGGACAGAGGGTATCAAAGTTAGAAAAGATGTAAAGTTTAGATTGCTAAATTACAAATAAGCCTTAAAAGACATTAAATGAGGGGCAATTTGGTCATTGGGGGACTAGATTGCAAGACCCTTAGTATATGAGGGACTTGTGAGCAATTTCAAAGTTTTGTGGGACTACTATGAAATTGTTTAAGATTTGAGGGGCTAATAACTAAATAATCGATTAAAGTTTTGCAGGAACTTAGTTTTTATTGGGAAATGTTTTACTCATATTGAAAATGATATTAGTAATTAGTAATATCTTCATATGTCAACTTAAGTGGACCATCCACCAAACTTTCTATCCATTGATGATACCTAGGGATCCATGCAAGATATGAAGAGACTTTATATATATGTGGACAAAGGTCCCTTATCCACTTAAGTTGACATAAGTTCACATCTCTAATATCAATGCGTGTGTGTGAGTATGTATATATGTAGTTATTATTGTTCTTAAACCGAGTATATCATGTATTATGCTTATAAAATCTTGTTTGGGACAAGAATCTTTCTTATTATCATTAAGTATAGATTTAAATCTTATTTAGGAATTAGGGCAACATATTATGTGGTAACCATCCAATTTTTAACAAAGGAGTTATAGTAAAGACATCAACCCAAAACAAAGAATTAAAGTATTTCACAGTGTGCAATGCACATGCATCAAACCTAATGGCGTATATTTTTTAGTTTATTTGTTTCTTCCATATTCGATACACATCCAAGTTTATTTTCCTTTAATCCAATCTGTATATATATTCGATTTTGGCAAATATGGGCTGGGTATGAATTTTCGTTACCGAACTATATCCATTTTCGTATCCACATCTGTTATTTATAAGCTGATGAGAATATGATAAATGACATTTGATTCGTATCCGATCCATTTGCACCCCTAGTTGGGAGATAATAAATACTAGTGAGCAAGCCTGTTGGCAAAGTGAGAATACATTTCATTTTCTAATTGGAGGCGTCACCATTTCATGGTGAATCATCAAGACTGTACTTATCTTCAGAGTTTCTAGGCATGTCGAGTTTAAATGGTAAAAGGATGCAGTAATTTTCCTTGATATTTTAAATTTTTATACCTGTTTTAGTAGGTTCAAAAGAAGATAATTATGACCTATGAGCATAAAATGCATTAGCGTCTTCATAAATTACATTGTAATTTATACCTGATGTCTGACAACTAAGTGAGCTGACTGTGCCTGAACTCCAGCCCAGGTACAACCCAGCCTCTGGCTTAGCTCATGGAATTTCGCGATCCCCACTCTGGTAGTTTTTGTGGAAGTAATCTGTAGTACCCAACAGAACTGCACTTGTTTCTTTTCCAAATTGGCTTCTTTTAAACTCTTTTACCGTTCTAATTGTTAATTGCTCCCACATACTGTTACCGATACTGCAGTCCTGGAAAGGATGTATAGTGTCATGGGTGGGTCTCATGAAGAACATGCTTAAAAATGGAGTCTGAAATCAATTGCTATCGCTATGGTTTCAATCGTTTTAGGTTTTAGTAATGGTACAATATTAACAACCAAAGAGGGGATTGTGAGAAATTTTGATTTATCAAACTTGTGGAAGTGAGAGATGATGTACAAGGGCCAAGGAGAAAAGTAACTAATATTGCGTGGAAAAACAATAATATCTTTGGAAAGTGTTCCAGAAGCGTGCTATTAGATATGTACTCTGACATTGTTTTGTTGTTGATATCTTTTCTAATATGAAAGCCAGGAAGTATTGCATGTTCCATTTATGAATAGCAATCTAACAATATATTGTTCCTGTTAGTTTTATCTTGTGTGGTATACCATAATTTTCTGTTTAATTTTCATGTATGATGTCAGAGTGCATTTATTTTGAAGGGTGGAGTTGAATATATGAATTGTATTTTTGGTTCCTCAGCTACATGTCAATTTTTAACAGATTTGATTTTGTTGGCATATAATTGGCATTAGGATGAACCTTACATTTATTAGTTTCTTTTTTTAATCATTTATTTCTACACAGCAGCAGATGAGAGTGAGAATGGCACTGATCTGCCATCCAAATCCCCACCAAAAAAAGGCTTTGCCAAGTCTGCTTCAAATTCCAAAAATTCCAAGAAAAGGAAGAAGCAACAGGATTCATCAGAGTCGGAAGCAGAAGAGGACAAAAGCAGTGAAGAAGAGGACGAAGATGAAGATGATGTGGTTGAGACAAGGAGCAAACGAGGCAGAGGCCGAGGTACAAACAAGGCCAAAAGTGGAGCAAAAACTCCAACGCGAGGGAGAGGACGCCCAAAATCTGCAGAATCCAAAGAGAAGAAAAGCTCAGTCCGTGGCAGGGGGCGTCCAAAAAAAGCACGGTAGATGATTTTAACAACTTGACTCACAAACAAGATTTTTCTTCTGGAAGGGAACTAGATTTGTAGTTTTTGGATGATTTTAAGCTTTCCATATTCGCAACAAGTTGGAAATTACATTAAGATTATGAGCTACCTAAAACTGGTAGCAATGAGTTTTTAAGTTCGTGGAGATACTTGTAAACTAACCTATGACTTACCATCAAGATTGTTGTATACCAGTTTATGTCGTCAGTTTGATGAACTATCTTGTTGCCTCTCATTTTTCTTGTTAGTGGGGCTTTTAGTAAGTCTATGTTGAATAGCAGTGTTAATGTTGTTGTTTACTTATTAGAATCATCTTTTTGATGCAATGCTCTTCTGTACAGTCTAAAATTATGAATTTAAATACATTTTTTTTAAATAATGATGAAAAAAAATCAGAGCTAGATTGGGAAATAATTGTTGTGCAAGTCGAAGGTTCAAATAACTACACTCAATCATGAGTAAATACTTGCCGGAAATTATTCGTATTAACATTCTTTGTTTGTGTGGAGGACAAATGGGATAATATAGGTATATATGACAAACTATCAGAAATAGGTATCTAAGTATATGGAGTTCATTGAATCCAGTGGCGGAGCCACGTACAAAGTTGGGGGGGACCTTTGCCGGAGCCACATTCAAAGTCTTGTACAAATTTCCAAAACTTTATATAAAAGATCCCAGTTGCATGCCCCAACTGCGGCTATGAACATAATTGAGAAATGAATTTATCCATTAATTGTTTTTATCCACTTGAACCATGCATATATCTGCATGTTATTTAGATGAGCTATAATCATGAATATTGCTTTGTAAACGCCTCCACAAAAATTTTTCACTTTTAACTTCACGACATAGATATGACGAAAGAGAGACAAATTAACACCACATATATATCTTAAGCTTGAGTGGTTTGTCATTAGTACCGCTGTCTTATGAATTTTCATGATCTAAGATATAGTAAAAAGTCAGAGTCGTTGGAGCCTGTACCCATAAATTTTTCAAAATATTTTTGGATTGCAAACAGGTTGATGATAATTGTCGATACTCATTTTCTTCTAAACAACTCATATTAACAAATACAATTGGAATGTTATCATAGATTATTGGCATCAATATCACAAAATAGACCCATCCGAAGTGGAGAAGTCTTTTAACTCGGCTTTGGTAAAGAGTAACTGGGGGTTTCATTATATCGATCTAGACAAGTTACCCCATCCATTTATCCTGATTGAACTCATTCACTTACGTTTACATTTTTTTCATCGAGTTGATTGACGTGATTATTGTTGGGAATTTATCAAATAATTAAGATTATAGCATGTAGATAAATCCGAAAAATTAAACAATTAAAACTGGCCTGAACGGGAGCAGTCATGTATTCACTGCCCTAGAAGATTGAGAACCCGCCTATCGCCCTGGCGCAGATGGTTCCCTCCCCCCTAGCGGTAAAAACCCCCGGAAACGGCCGGCCTCTACACTCGGACGAGAGTGCAGAGCTTCAGCTCAGATGAAAGAAGTTGCCCATAAAATAAAACTAAAATGTAAATAAAAATAATATGTAGGGGAGAGAAGAAAAACAAGAGAAACTTGTTGTATATTTTCCTTATCATTTTGAGCTTAACATATGGATATATATATAGGGTTGGAAAAGACGTTACAAAACCCGTAATTAATTCTGTAACGTTCGTCATAAATTTTGTAATGTTCCCCATAATTATATGGCCGTTACACATATTTTTAATTGCTAATTAAAACATGTTTTAATTATAAAACTTTATTACTATTCATGAAGGCAAAATTGTCTTTTCTTAACAAAATATCTAACAGTCCCCCCCAAAAGGCAATATTGACTGAAGACTCAGAAATCAATAAATAAATCAAGAAATCATAAATCAAATATAGGTTGGGCAACCTTACGTATCGTGAATTCGGGAAAGGTAGCTTTCGGCTTTGAACCATTCCTTAGTGAGTTCATCGCCACCTGAGGGACATAATGGACTAGACCTTGAATTAGGCCACTTTAATCAGGTATTGATGAAAACACACACAATACGCTTCATTTATTGAGCAAAGCGGGTTGAGCGTTAAAGGCCATGCTCACAATAAACCGACTCATGAGAGTTTCTAGGGGTTAGCCCAGCCCCCCCTAACCGCGGCCATCACGGTTCCTTTCACGTAGGTAAGTCCTCAAAGGGTACTACAACTGTTTATTTAATACCCCCCACAATACACGCGTTGGACTTATTAAGAGTAAAACTCAGCCTAGCCAGCTGTATCATAAGAGCATCGTCATCATAGAGAAGGGGTAGTAGCAAATGCTACATAATGATATATAAATATATCTAGGTCGATGCTCCACACGAGAGTCACTTGTCCAGCTTGTTTCTACCACATTGAACCGACATTGGGACTACGTCTCCAAATAAGGGTTGGGTTGCCGCTGTCAGTGACCTCATCTATGGGCTTAACCCCATCTCCCTCGATGAATCCAGAACCACACTCCTGGATAATCCCTTAGTCAAAGGGTCATCAAGATTCTTTTCACAGACTTTACAAAGTCTAGAATCATAACTTTGCCTAGCAGGCGTTGTATTTATTTATCAAGTTCTTATTTTGTAATTAGTCCATCATATTGTTTGAAATTGACATTAGGTCATGATCTATGATCATAAAAGATCATAGTCTATGTCTGAAGAGATTGACCTTAATATCTGAACATTTCAAACTAATGTGGAACTAAAAATTCTGCAGTTATGCATATGCACATACATGAATGAAATTAATAATAGATACATGCAGAGCATAATAGGATTTCGTATCTTAAAATATATTTTCGTATCTTAAAATATATTTCATACTTCATAATTCAAATGCATAAAATTTTTAAAATTCTTCTATTATAAGAGGTTACAAATTGGTTGCCTACAAAGGAGACCGTCCAAATTTAAATCGGTTGCCTACAAATGAGACCTTCCAAATTTAAATTGGTTGTCTACAAAGGAGACCTTCCAAATTTATGTTGCCATTTTCTAGTACCACCTCTTATACAAATAATAATAATAATAATAATATTTGTACATACGTGCTTTAAATTTTTTAAGTGCATTCTTGCATAAAACCTTGTAATTAATCATGTAACAAATGCAAGTTATCTAAAAGGACATATGAACATTTATTGCAATATCCATCAAAATGCAATTAAAGTGATGAACTTTACATTTGAAGATTTGAAATATAATCCACCATATAAAATAGAATTTTAAAAAAATGCACCACTTTGATTTAATTCGCTCATATATTGATCATTTATCATTAGGCAATATATGATGCAAGAAGCGTAATTAAATAAATGCATATGAATTTTTTTCTCATAATTCCGGTCCTCTTATTCCAAACCAAAAACTCCTAAAGTGAAAAGATTAAAATTTTACCCGGGTAGTTAGCCAGGTAAGGATAGTAATAGAGGTTGATCAAAGATCAATTAAGTACCTCGTTCCTTACAGAGCGCGTTACGCAACTCCTAAACCTTGCCTTAGACACCAACTAATCCAAGAAAACTTGAACCGGTTCACTCAATGAGTTTTTGTATCAGAATATAAAAATGCTTTATAGGCCCACAAAAGAAAATAGCATTGATAAGTATACCTGCTGCAGACAACTGCCATATAAGTTGCTGAACAAATCTGCATTCACTTTTTTCACCTTTTGTCTAAGCTTGTTAGATGCATAAACAATTCAATAAAAGGCGCTATGCTGATAGCTTAAAGAAATGAAAGTATTAAACCATGAACAAATTCAGATATTTCAAAGTGTCTATACATCCAGAGATAGAGCCTACGACAATGGATTATTACAGCACAAGAGATCTAGAGCTACCAAACAGATCACCATCAAAATTACACCGATTAAGGACATATATAGAAATTGTGCTACTTGAGAATATGATTATGTCGTAGTGCATGAAATAATAACCCATAAACTTTAAACCATCTCTTGAATTATTGCAAAGTTACAGCCAAGGCAATTGTACTTATACAATTTAATTATTATGCAATCATGACATTTCTAATGATATTTTTTGATAAGCATAGAAAACAAACTTTAGCTTCTAATAAGTTTCACTGGTCATATTATATAAATCTTCCTCATACAACAACAGAAAGATATATCAAGGTAGATTGACCTAAAAAGTGTTGATAAAAAGGTCGGTTAACAAGAAACTTACACGCTTTTGTAATTAATTACAGTTAGTTTTTAATTATAATCAAATAAAAGCAATTAAAGCAATTTAAACAATTAATTGTAATTAACCGTTAAAATTAATTAGCAGTTAATTAAATTAACAGAAACATTAACTACAAAATGTATTTATTTTTAATAATGAAGCAGTAACATTTTTCAATAAAACGAACAGTAACAGTTACAGGTTTTTGTGAACAGTAACAAATTTTTTTATGAACAGTAATTTTCATTTTATAATGAGCAGCAATTTCTGATTAAATTGCGAACAGTAATAGCAAATTTTTTTATTTTTTATTTTTAAATCGGATGAACAGTGCTGTCTCGAATGAACAGTAACTTTAAAAATTATTTTTCCGGATTTAAATCAAAAGCTATAAACATTTCAATCTTCTAGATTGTTGGGAATTTATCAAATAATTAAGATTATAGCATGTAGATAAATCCAAAAAATTAAACAATTAAAACTGGCCTGAACGGGAGCAGTCGTGTATTCACTGCCCTAGAAGATTGAGAACCCGCCTATCGCCCTGGCGCAGATGGTTCCCTCCCCCAATTTATTACTAATGTTGTTTGTCTAGTGTTTGTGCATTCCTATGTTTTGTAGACAAACAACGTTGTTGGAGGATGGATGGAATAGAGCTTCAACGATCATATCCAAAGGAGGTTGGCGGAATGTCGGTGAAGCCTTGCTATTCAAAGTTCAAGATCCAAGTTCAAGCTTCATCCGCGAGATTACCAAGTCAAGCTTATTGAAGATCAAGATCATTGCTTGGGTAATTTAGTTTAGGAATTTATATTATGTGTGTTAGTACTTTAAGCTCAATCATATACACACATACACGTTTTGGTTTTGTATATATACAGTTATATATATACATATATGTTTTTGGTTTAATAATTTTTAAGTTTATATATGAAACAAATGAATAATTGCAAAATACTATTTGGTTTCATGTTTATATGCCTATATATGATTTCACCTTTAACAAGCTTATATTTAATGAAATCATATTTAGTGTTTTTGAATATATTGCATAGAATATGCAATTTTATGAAAATATTGTATTTCTAGGTTATAGACTTCATAACAACATATTATATCTTTTATCAAGTCTATACAATCATTTCATAAGGTTTCAAAATGTTGTTTAAGTCAAAATATCAAAATATCAATTTTCAGGTTTTCATGTTTTGGACTATTTTGTAAAATGATGATATTTTTCATTTGGGAAGTCCTTTTTCGAAACCAGTCGTTGTAGCATGTTTATTATCATGTCTACAATCATTCCCCAAAGTTTTACATTTTTTGGAATTTATTTGATATTTTTAAACAGCGTTTTAAAACCAGATATACAGTTTTTTGAGTATCAGTATTCGGTCGACCGACCGAACCTGAGGTCAAAAGTTCTC